CTAAACCACAGGATTTTACTCAGTTAAAAGTCTGAAATGTGTTTTAAACTTTGACTTTGAACCAGTTTGGTACAAAAAAATCACCTAAAGCTACCCCTAAGGCCTCAGTAAAAAAAAATAAAAAAAAATAAAAAAGGCTTGAAAAGTGCCTCTCTCAGACGCTAACTCAGCACATGGCTCTCTAAAAGAGCAACTGACTCAACTGAATGCATGCCTGAAATGCAACAAGCCCAACGATTAGAATGGAAGAGTGCAAATAGCTTTTCCAATCTGGGACCTGCACAGGTAAATTAGGTTTAGCTTTTTTTCCCTTTGCTTTCAGGAAACTAAAGCGATTATCACAAATTCCCTGAGGCGTTCGGGAAACTGACATTTAACTAAGGAAAAATGGCGAATAAAACCAGATAATCGCAGCACAGCGGGCTGAAATGTTTAACAAACTTTTCTGCTACTATGAACTGTATTTTAGCTGGTGGCCTAGATCCATCGCATAATGACCAGATAAAAAAAGTGTTTCATACAGTACTTCGGATTTTGTTCAGTCCTGCATATTTGGCCAGAATTCAAAACTCGCTCTGTTCTAATAACCATATTTTTTCTGAATGTATTTTTTTTTCTCTGTGCAGTTTTTGGCACTCAGAAAGCGAGTGTGGTTTCAGATCCTGGCACTGTTCTGCCCAATCCTACTTACTGCTCCTCTGAGAGTTTGGGGTGGGAGGCTGTGAGGAGGCCTGGAGTTTTATGAACACTCATTAAAAGCTCTTTCAGTCAAGATGGGCACTCAGCAGTACATCTAAATAACTGTTGGGGGGGTCTTCTTCAGAAAAATGGATGAATTCAAAGCGAAATAATAAATACACACCATTTAAAATGTTTTTTCAAGAGTCCCTTATTAAAGTGCTGTGAAAAAGTATTTGCCCTCTGCACTTTTGCCAATTTGTCACACTTAGTTATTGCTGATCTTCAAGCAAAATGTATATATGAGACTTATTTAATTTATCCTATTTAGAGTACTTTAGAAAGTAATGTTATCCAACACAAATGGCATCATCACTGTTGTGCTGAATCTAAACATCATTTAATAGATCTTTTCCATTTTCTCCAAATGGAGAAATCTTCTGATGCATTTTCCCATTTCACATTTACCCAAAAACACCCTGATGACCACTACATCTTTGGCAATAATGTTCTGTGGACGGAGGAGGCCAAAGTGGAACTTTTTGGAAGACACAGGTCCTGTTATATTCAGTGTAAAGCCAACACAGCATTCCACAATATGAAAATCACACCAGCAGTGAAACATGGTGGCGGTAGTGTCAGATGCTCTACTGCTTCAGGGTCTGGGTAACTTGCCATAATTGATGGAACCATGAATTCCTCTTTCCACCAGATAATCCTAATTATAGTCTTCAGCCCATGATCTGAAGCTGAAGTGCAATTGAGTTTTGCAGCAAGACAACAATTCAAAGCACAAGAGCAAGTCCACCTCTGAATGTCTCAAAAGAAAATTAAGGTTTTGGAGTGGCCTAGTCAAAGTCCTGACTTTGCCCGCTTTGAGATGCAGTGGTGGGACCTTAAATGGGCAATTCAAGCTCAAAAGCCTTCCATTTTGGTTAAACCAAATCTGCAAAAAAGAAAAATGACCCAGTACTCCTCCACAGCAATGATGGATCTCTAGTTGTAGGAAAAGTTTGGCTGCAATAGTTGCTGTTAAATGTGGGGGGGGCTTAGTTTTTCACATGGGTAAAATAACTGTTGCCAAATTTTTTTTCAGTCAAAAAACAAATGATTATTTCTTCATGTTGTCCTTGTCTTGTATTACATTTTGTATGAGGTTCTGAAGCCATTTAATTTGACAAGTGTGCAAAATTAGAAGAAATCAGGAGGGGCAAACACTTTTTCATGGCATTGTAGAACGATGAACTCTCAGAAAACCATTTGAATGCATAAATAGTTGCATAGTTAAATGGTTCTTCTCTATGATGGAAAACCTGTTATATATGATCATGTAAAGAACCTATTTAAAATAGTGAAAGAACTTTTTTTTATTACTCTATAAAACCATTTTTTGAGAGTGTAGCAATGGCACATGTGCCTGGAACTCCTTGAACAGAGGCTGCATGGTCAATACTTTACTCTATTGTGATCACCTTTTCAACATTCTCCTCAAAAGTGAATTATAATACTGAACGGAATGGACTGAGCCACCGTCTGAGATCTCAAAGGGAGAATGTAAAGCGACAGAAAGAGTGTGTGTGGGGGGGGTGTTTTCTTTTGGAAAGTCATTGAATGAGCCATATTATAACTTATTAACAGAGCTTTTTTGTGAAAAACAGGTCTTAGACCTCTGGATTCTCATAGGTTTTCAAATTCACGGCTCACTGTAGAGAATCTTACTTACTCTTTACAGTGCCGGTCATAAAAACCAAAGGTTGCAATGTCTACAACACAATCAATGCATTTTATTTACCATTCAGAATAACTGGTGAATCTACACATGCCTTCTGAGTTGTACATGTCATGTTATTAATGACAAAATAGTGGTAAACCTGAGGGAAAAAACAAAAAAATGTTTTGATTATGGGACTATTTTGTCTTACAATGACCTGCATGTACCTCTCCGCCATATATGTATTTTAAAAAAGGCTGAAATCTTCTCTCAAAACTATCATCAAGCTATGTTTCAGGCATTAGACAATATATTTATAGCTATTTCATGTAATGACTTTTGGTTAGGTAACTTTTTAAAAGCATTAAACTCCTCAGACGACTGCGAAGGCCTACCTGGAGGAGATTAAGCACTAGAGAACTGGTGTGAGGAGAACCACCTCTCCTGAACGCCAGCAAGATGAATGAGTTGGTAGAGGACTTCGGCAAGAAGCAGCAGAGGAGCTACCACCCCGTCATGATCAACAGTGCCCCAGTGGAGCGAGTGGACAGTTTCCGATACCTTGATGTCCACACTTTACAAGGCCCTGACACAACAAAGCCCTGGTGGATTAGACCCGTCAGTGTCTTTAGATGCTTAAAAGACTTTAAACTGCCCTCATCAGTGTTTAAGAACTTTTACACCTGCACATTGAGACCATCCTTGCAGGAAGCAAGGTTTGGGAACAGCACCAAGCAGGACAGCTGGGCTCTCCAGAGTGTGGTGCCATCAGCTGAGTACATCATCTAAACCTGCATTATATATACAACAAGCAATGCTGGACCAAAGCCAGGAGGATAATGAAAGACCTCAGCCATCCCAACAATGGACTCTTCTCTCCATTGTGGCCAAGGAAAAGCTTCCGCTCCCTGAAGGCCAACGCAGAGAGAATGAGGAGGAGCTTCTTCCCACAGGCCATTCAGGCCCTCAACCAGGACAATAACTAGGACTATTTACACACACATATATATATATATATATATATATATATATATATATATATATATATACACACACACACACTCATATACAGCTGGACTACTGCACAACATCCATACACCCTACATATACAATACATACTGTTATATTTACAAGCGTTTATGATATTTATTAACTCCTTTCAATTCTACTACCTCCTGCTCATTTGCACACAACTGCACATCTGCACTTCCACATGTCCTTGTATTTTATCCTTGTTATAACCCTATATTTTCATTTTTTATATTAATATCTTACATTTTTTTTTCATATATATTAAGAAGTGTTACTTAAAGGTGCAGTGTGTAATACTTAGTGGCATCTAGTGGTGAGGTTGCAGATTGCAACCAACTGAATACCCCTCCCTCCCAAAGTAGTAGTATCTACGGTGGCTGTCAGGTTTTCTGCCGTCCCCTGTCCTGATTTTGTTTTTCCTCTTCATGTTTTCGCTTCTTTGACGACGAGGATTCGCCCTCCCTGGCTTTTTCTTGTGCTAAATAATAAGTATGATCCTCTATTTGTCAATCTTTGGGTTCTCAACCTTCCCACGACACAAAGTGGTTAGCCAACATCGGCAGCAACCACTGATTCTTCTTCTTTCTACGTCCTCCAACCGGTGCTACCAACTGGTGCCGCTTTGATGTAAAAATGCGAAAGCCACTCTCTAGATCCAGTGCTTGGTTTGTGCATTCTGGGAGGCTACTGTAGAAACATGGTGGCGCAACATGGCGGCCTCCGTTGGAAGAGGAGCCACTCCCTATGAAGATTTGTCATTCTAAGCTAATGAAAACACAATGATTCGTAGTTACAGGTGATTACACACTAATGAAAACATGGTTTTGTATACTTTATTCCATTTCTGCTTATAGACTCTCCTTACACACTGTACTTTTAACATAACGCTGCTGATGAGTGGACCAAAAAAAATGGCCCAAAATGACTTGGAAAAACGTCTGGTTCCATTGACTTACATTAAAAACAAAGTATGTTTTTTCCTTCCCCTGTAAAGTTACCATTTTAGAGATATGAGGTTTTGTTCTGACACCAGTGATACATGTAGTTATATTATATTATATTATATTATATTATATTACATTATATTATATATTATAAGTAAAAACCATCCCCAGGATTTTGTTCCAACTGCTTGACTTCTCTAATTTGCTCAAACCAGCAGCAAAGGTGTTCAGGCAGTTGGAACAAAATCCTGGTGAGGGACCTGGATTACCCACCTCTATATATTATGTAGGCTTCCCAGCGCTCACTATAGCCAAGATGAAGTGAAGAAATGGCCGCTGTTTTTGATAACTTCTAAACAGGGTACGGGCTGACATTAATTTGAATAAATATAATATTAATGAATATCGACGAGTGACGTAGCTTTAACGCTATACCGTCCTGGCGTTTTCCCCACCCGTATTCCGACAACCCCCGCCCTCCTACGCTACGATTGGCTAGCACTCTCCTGCCACCTGCGCTAGGACTGACTAATAGTGCGACTGACCAATCGTAGCGCAGGAGGGCGGGGCTTCCCGGAATACGGGTGGAGAAAAATCCGCCTCGTCCCGCGTTGCCTCTCACTCGGGCGCGCAGACCCGCCTCAACCGTCCTCGCTCTGGGACTTCTCTCTCACACACACTTCACAGTTCGCCGTTTCACCTTCTGAGGAGACGCGTTCGAGAGAAGAGAGAGAGGAAAAAGGAGAGAAAAGGAGAGAAAAGGAGAGAGACTCCCTCTTTTTTTGAGCCACACACCGAGTGCTGTCAAACGAGGAGAAAGACCGGTCGTCGTGGTTCTCTCTCCTCCTCATGAAGATGCTCTCGATAGCCGTGACGCTGGTCCTGGCGATTTTCGGGCAGTGCGGCATCCTGGCTGGAAAAGGTGAGTGGGAGAAAAAAAAACCCTCCAAACTTGTGTTTAATCCGGTTTAAGTTGTCTCGTTTAATCGCGTCAAATCCTTAAATGACTTTAAACTGTATGTTAAACTAGTTTGCATCAAAGAGGCTTAAAGTTGTTATCCTATTCGCCAGCTTGTTGTTCGAAATTTCCCGTTCCACCTTAAATGGTGCAGCAGTTACATTCTGATGCCCGGCGCCAGAGTGTAACTGCTGCACCATTTAAGGTGGAACGGGGAAAATTCGAAGAAGCTGACTTCAGCGTCGTCTTACATTAAGGTGTTCACTAGCTTAACGTTAACTTACTCGTGTCAGCTAAGCCTGTCACAGCTAAATTAACTCCTGATTTAGATTTTAAAACATGAATGAAACAAAAAGCGTCTTTATTTTAATAAAAATGAATAAATGAAATAAAAAAAAAAATCAGCTGCCTGCTTTAACCTGCTGTTCGCCAGGTAGGAACGACCTCAGTCCACACTACCTGCTCTCACTGAGGGGAAGTTTTCCCATTGACTTTCGAATTACTTCATTGTATGGTTTTATTTGTCGACTTTAAATATTAATTTCCCTCAGGAACTGTGTTATATTTGTGTTTTACTGCGTAAACGTTGACTTAAATGGGCTTCGTTAGCTAGAACTGTGGCTGGAGATTCGGCCATATGCTAACCAATGTAACGTTGGTTAACATACACATTTTAGTTTGTCTCATATTCCTGTGTTATCTGTTCTGTTTGGCTTCTCTAACTTATTATTTCACGAATTACAACAGTTCTGTTTTTTAATGGAGACCTGGCCTTTCTTTTGCTCATGTTTGTGACCGTTAACCTGAAGCCTGTTTGCTGTTTGAGGAGAAACGACCGTTAAAGCCGTTAAAGGGGAATTCCACCGATTTTTCAAAATTTCTGCATAGTTAAATGGTGTAGATGTAAACAGAGACGTTTAGAGTGGGTAATGTGAAATTCTCAGTTACAGAGAAGCTTAACAATGATTTCCTTACAGTGGTGGTGATAGGAACCAGACGTCAGAAGTCTCTATTACACACAGTTGTTATTAATACTCAATTAAAAATAGATGATACTTCATGGATTCTTTAGTAAAGGGAATGGTTCTGTTTAGATCATGAGTATTAACTATGTAGAACCGTTTCATGCCTAAATGTTTCTTTGCATCGTGATAATGATACTTCAGATTGATGGAGAATGTGTTGTATATGGTTCTATAGAGAACCTTTTTGATAATGTGCCTGTATAGCACTGAAAAGCTGCTATTGTTATGATGTCAAGCTTTTTTGGTGCTACACAATTATAAAAGATGGTTCCTCAAGGGTTCTTTAGTAAAGAAAATGGTTCTATATAAAACCATAAACACTCAAAGAACCCTTTGCATGATTAAAGGGTTCTTTGCATCGTGAAACGTTCTTCAGATTGATGGAGAATGTGCTGTTTTTTTTTATTTTTTTTGAAAAGGGTTCTAAGTAGCACCTAAATGGGTTCTTCTAATGATACAAGCTTGATGTCATAGAAATAGCAGAACCCTTTTGGTGCTATATAGAACCCTTTTCAGAAAGGTTCCATATAGAGCCATGTACAGCACATTCTCCATCAATTTGAAGAACGCTATCATGATGCAAAGAACCCTTTAATCATGCAAAGGGTTCTTGGAGTGTGCATGGTTCTATATAGCACCATTTTCTTTACTGAAGAACTCTTGAGAAACCATATTTTGTAAGAGTGTATATAGAATATATTGTTTTTAAAAAGGTTCTATATAGAAACATATTTACCACATTCTCCATCAATCTGAAGATCCATTTCACCGTGCAAAGAACAATTTAAGCATGAAATGGTTCTATATAGAACTCATAGTTGGAAACAGAACCACACCCTTTACTAAAGAACCCTTAAAGAACCATTTTTCCTAGTGTCTGAGAGAGTGAGTGTGTTTACATGCACTTAATAATCTGACAACTGCAGACAGTCAGATTTCGTCAGTATTTGTTCAGTGCGTTTACAGGCACATGGGTAGTCAGATAATAGGGAAACTCTGGATCTGCATGAGTCAGACAATAATCTGATTTCTGCTTTGCAAACGACCAGTAAACTCACAGGAGAAGACGTGGCGTAAACGTAATATAAAACTCTTCGTCATGTCACAGCCTTTTTTTAAACTTCGAGTCACTTTAGCGGAAAATTTGAATATACATCATCTAGAAGATGAAGAGTATTTTAATCCTTCATTCTGTCAAGTATGTAGTTGGTCTCAGCACCACTCAAAACGTATTTTTTGTGGTGCTGTGTTAAACACTGCTTGCTATTTCCTGGAAAGCGGTCTGTTTTTGCACATGTACAGACTGAGAACAATGAAAGAAATCAGAGTAAGGATTTACATGTGCTGAAAAATGTGATACCGAGCTAAAATCCAGCTGTCTTAATCAGATTTCTAGGCCTTAATCTGAGTATGCTATTTACATAACCGAATAATCAGAACTTCCGAAATCCAATAATGATCAGATAAATAAGTGCATGTAAACGCACTCATTGTTTTACGCTAAAATTGGCCTAAAACATACATAATCAGTTTATGTCAGAGAGGTACATACAGGGCATTGCAAGGCAAGAGAAAACATCGTTTTTCAGATTCATCCCTGAAGTGCCTCTAAAAGCTCCCTCGCTGAAAATCATTACATGAAATGGTTATGAATATGCTGCTAAAATGTCTGAGACAGTTTTCCAATTTTCAATAGGTTCGAGAAGCTTTTGGTCTGAGACATAATTTAAAAAACATACATGGTGGAGAGTTTAGATGCAGACTAATGAGGCAAAATAGTCACCAAAGTTCCCATCATCAACATTACATATAAAAAATCAGAAGTCATGTAGATTTACTCGCCGTTTTGGATAATAAATAAAATGGCTGTATTTGCATGTAGACCCCTGGTTCCTGTCACCCAAACTGTGAAGAAATCTGAGTCAGTAAGTTTCTGTACAATCAAACATTTCACATCAAACCACTCTGAATGACTTTGATTCAGTTGTGCAGAAATATGGACAAATCTGTGGAATTCTCCTTTAGTAAGTCAGATAAGATGGTGTCTTCTAATGCTAACTACTCTTATTTACATGCAAATTCCATTTTTTATCCATCTCTCCTTCTTCTCCCTACTTCTTACGTCAATGATCGTTTATTTCTCACATCGTCAGTTTTAACCGAGACCTGGCTTTTTCTGGCACAGTTTATCTGGTGCCCTCCGTAGGTGAAAGCTAACGTGAAGCCTGTTTGGTGTGTGAAGAGAAACGACCGCTAAGCCTCAAGTTGTGTGTGAGGGCGACGAGCTCCTCGGCTTTCTAATTGAGTCCCTCGGGGCCAGTACGAATAATGAGACGTTAAATGGCTCGCCCAGGCACGGGCGCAGCTCTGGCTTTAGCCGCTTGCCCTCACTCACGGCGGTTTAAGGTGATGAGGTTGTTCGTTAGCATGCTTTCCATACAAGCGCGTAATTTCAGGGTGTTTTGCTCTCCAGTTTTCCTGCAGTCTTGCCTTTCTTTCAAATTGGAACGTCTGAGAAAATGACTTGGAAATTAAACCTGTTTATGCAAGACGAGTCTCACGAGGTAAGGATTTCACAGCAGGATGCAATCAAATAGGAGAGAAATACTGGCGGAATTACACACAACTGTAAAGCAAGCACAAGTTGATGGCTCATGCTTTTAATATACACTGCTTACTTGTTAACTGAGCCCAGTGAAAAGCAATGGAGATCAGATCTGGATGATTAAAGCGAACATGAATGCATGTGCCATATGCAATAGAAATACTGGTTAAAATATGAATGGAAATCCATTATAGGAGCCAGGCAAAAAAAACCCTTATTTAACAGGTATGCACATGCATAGTAGCTGCATCAACCTGAAAAATACATTTTTTTGTACATTATTTGTGCCAAACGCCACAACCTATCTGCAGTATTTGTAAGGTTTCACCAGTGGTTTCAAATATGTTTTTGAAAGATTAGCTTGGCCATGAATTTGGGGTTAAAAGCTGTCTCCTCCTGGAGTAGATAGGCCTTTGGTTTTGTATGACTGGAAAAATCCGCCTGAGGGCATTGCTAAGATTGCTGCAGAGTGGACAGATTTGGCTTTAAAAGCTGTGGCTGTTGGCAGAATAGTAACTGGACTCCATGAAACTAGTAGCTGGTGAAGTTGGAGAGGTGCAGGTTGGAGCCATCCAACAAATTTGATTTGAAAATGATAGTATAGAAACCAATAATGCACCTTAGACCAATAAATAAAGGCACTAGTTAAGTTACAAGCAGTCATTTTCAAACAAAAGAACACTGTATGCTTAATAATTGGGTAATGCTTTCTTTTACAGCCCCCCAAGTTCTAGGTTAACCAGGTAAATGTGAGGTACAAAGTGCTAGATAATTATTTTGGGTAACAGGTTTTGGGACAGTTTAACTAAATTACATTGAAATGCCAAACAAGTTCTAGATATGAACTAAGTAAGTGTTGAGTACAGTCTCCAAAGTGCTGTGGAATTATTTTGGGGTGAAATGATGATATATATCAAGACTGTCTTACTAAATTATTCTGAAATGATGAAGAGGTTCTAGCTACCCAATTAACAAAGGAAATAGTAGCATACCTTATATTTGGAGTTACAAGGTAATAGGTTCAAACATACACTACATATCAATGTTATGTCACATGTTTAAGCATAAAAGTGAATCAGAAACACCTCCAAATTGGTGTAAAATGACAGCAGAAAGTACAAAGACTGTAAAATGGACCCAGTAAAACCACAGTAAGAATCATTGATTGCTCGTTTATAGGTTTATAAGCAGGAATGTACAATGTAAGGCTTTTTGATGGTAAACAGTTACTATTCATGTTACCCAAAATAAATTGGTACTTTGGTATTTGTGCCTCACATTCACCTGGTTAATACCTGGAACTTAAGTGGCTGTAAAAGAAAGTGTTGCTAATA